GGGTGGAACTGTAGATCTGTGAGTGACAGCCGTCCTATTGTGAGCCCCTCATGTCCCGGACTAAGCCCTGCCCACACACCATCTGAGCGATCACCTGGACACAGTATAGGTACCACTCCCCACTGTTTACTTATACTGTGTTGGAGTTTGTAATACAGTGAGATCAAAAGATTGCATACTTAGAGAGGAGGATTTTTGTAGTTCATTACATTTGGAGAAAGTGTGCCTGATGTTCTTTTTCATCTTCCCCCTTTTTGAGCTAAATTTAGGCTCAATTGAGTATTACAGTTTTTACTGAACAGGACAACTCTCCATTTCTCATTTAAACAAGATCAATTATGCTTGAAGGATATGTTTCTTTCTATTAATACATTTCTTTATCAGGTTTTTCCAGCCCCGTAGGTTCCAGTTTATTCTCTCCCTCTCTCCAGTCTCCTGCCTATCTGTGGGGGTCTACATGGGCAGGTAGCAAACCTCGAGCAAGGCTAAGTCTGGTGGGTAAGCCCAAGTAAATAAGAGGGTGTGTGGCTTGCACTTGGTTATTTTGACCCTTTCCTCACTTTTCTATCTTCTTGCGTCCTTGTCTTGTTCTCCAGGTTCTGTCAGCAGAGCAGCAGAGAGCGTTCTGTCGAATTGGCGCAATCATTCGCGGCTTCCTCACTCGCAGATTGCTGAAAACTGAGAAGATCAAACACTTGTGCCAGACCATCATGGTGATGATACACACAAAAACACACGCTAAAAATGTGCACAATCAATCGAAAACACCAATGTGGGGGTTTGTTAAATAATCAGACTCCGAATTTGGTTAATGCCAAGTAGGTTCTTACATACAGGGAATTTGCTTAGTAGAAATATTATAAAACTGTTGTAAAAAGTATGATAAGTCAAAAATGTGTACAAGGAATGTAAATATATAAAAAGGAAAAACAATAAGAATATCACAAATGACATTAAATCCAAATGAAAAGTCAAAGAGCTGTACAATATTACAAATGGTTATATTATGCAGGAATGTGTAAAAAAAAAAAGAATCCTCATATGTTAGTAGAAAAGCTGTATGTTTATACATGTTTCCTGTTTATATGTGTGCTTAGGATACACAAGAGTTCATCCGTTCATTCCAGACTGAAGCTCATCAGAAGAAAGGCCCCTGCTCATCACAAGATCGCTCGCTGCAGGAGAGAGTTAGAGCCCAGGTATGAAGGTCTACTAACAGTCTATAAACAGCAGAGGGCGATCATTCTTTGTGTTTATTCATGCATCTTTTGTCCTTCAGCTACGTGCAGCCCTTTATGACATCCATGACATCTTCTTCGAAATACCTCTCGGAGATCGGTTAGCGTTGCTGCAGCAGGACAGAGAGCTCCGAGCAGAGAGGAAGCTGCGAGACATGGTAACCTGGAGACATCGTCCTGTAATAAATCACATAGCCATATATAATCAAAAAGGTGACATTTGTGAATTCTCGTTCAAACGAAGACCTAAAAGTAAAGTTCAAACATCTTTCCAGTCTCAGAAGGAACTTGAAGCTTGAGTTTGTATTGTATGAAATACTCTGAAGCATTTTGTCTGCATATGTTTAAGTATAAATCAGTCATACCTTCTATTGTCCTGTATACATGGTTTATAATTTTTCATTAGTTATTGATTATAATTGGTCTATCTGCTGATAACTGGTGGTACTTTTAAGATAATAATGGTAAGTATTTACAAAGCAACACCTTATAGCATTATATACCATTGATTACCAAATTAACAAAGTTACATTATGTTGTAGCTACCTTATAACATGCCATTAGTCAGTACTTCAGTTTTTTACTTTGTGTTCTTTACTGTCTGTGTCCAACCTGCAGGAGAAAGCCAAGTGTCCCAAGGATAGAGCGGTTCTGTCTGCTGCCACACAGAGGTCTCTGGACAGGAAAAAGAGGTAAGATGGAATCAAGGCACACAGTCTTACATTGCGGTGATCCCATAATAAGATCCAGTGTTTCTATTGCAAGTATGTGCTACTCCTGCAGGGTTAGTGAATCCCCAGCCCAGGCTAGGAAGATGCAGCAGAAGCCAAGGAGCCCCACTACTAACAGGTGCTTGTATTTATTCTCTGGTTCTGTGTTTTACTTTTATTTTCTGTGTTTACTTTCCCCAGAAAATCAGTACTCTAATTAAATCATTTTCTGCCAGAGTCCTGAAGCCAAGCCAAGGCCAAAATTCTCCTGTTGCAGGCCAACTGAATCGCCAGGGGTGAGTTTTAACGTATTTCGCCATAATTGCAAAGTGTCTTTCTTTTTATGAACTGTTATTCTATTATTATTTGAATCACCTCTCGCTAAAGGAAAGAGTGTTCATAAATGTGTTGATTACAGCATTGACCTACTGACTTTGAAGTCAGCATAAGATGACGGTGGCTGTTTCCTCTCAGGAGCTGGTACAGAAAGACCCCAGGAGAGAGAGTGAGGCGCTCAGACAGCCTGAAGAAGCAGCACTCCCTGGGTTAACTGGTCACTCAACTTCCCTGAACTGTGAGCTTGAATTGTTAGTCTTTAACTAGAAACCTTAAACCACTGGTTGCGCTGCTAAACCTTCTGAAATTGAAAAGATTGTATTCACTATCACACTTAAGCTCACTGATATACATCATTAGATGCCTTTGTTTTTGATTGTTTAGCTTGTTGAAATACTTTGCCAACAACTGATTGTTATCCACAAAACTGAAACGTAGCTTGATACTGTGTGTGGATTATTTATTGAAAAGGTGGGCACATTGTAAATAACTATCTGTACTTTAATGCAAGATAGAGGATGGTCAGAGATCCACATTTCTATCTGTGCCTAAAAACTATGCCTTTGCTATCTGTGGCGTTTAGCATGCATATTTTTTTACAATTTTTGTTCATAAACATGTATGTATTATAGCTGAAATTAATCGATTATCAGTGTTATAATGAAAGTCGTTGCCGCATAAGAAAAGAGTGTTTAGGTTAGAATAACGTTTTTTTTACAAGGGCTTGTAGCTCTTCTATTAAAATGTGCTGAGTTAACAGTACTGTGAGAACATTTCAGCGTGTTTCAACCTTGGCTGATATCAATGCCAAATGCCCACATTTTAAATCTAAATGTATTTGTTTACACACTGGCTCTGTTACACTAATGTAGCTTCACACAACAGGAAATGCACAGCAGACACAGAGTAAAACAAAATGAATGCCCCTGTCCAATGTATAGTAAATGCTGTAAAGTTCTCCATTATTCTCCAATGCTTAAGCATATTTATAAAATAATTCAACCTCATGTAAAAGCATTAGTACATCCACTTGTTTACTTATAGATACCAAATTGACTTATGTATGTTGATGTTGTTTGCTGATATTGCTGTACTCTGTCTTCTTTTTTTTAAAGACACATTTATTTTTGTTATTTATTCCAATAGTGTTTTGATGACCAGAATAAATTCTGAATTGAAATCTTCTAGGCTCTAGATATTACAACTGACACCTGACTGAAGCAGCAGGGGAGTACATGAACGACAGTTAAAGATCATGATGCTTTGCTGCTCTTGATACAATTGAATTTTGTTTTTACTGTTGTTATTGTAAAGAACATTAAACAATGGAGTAAGTTGAGTAAGGATGTCACAATTTCATTGCTTCAAATAAATATTAGTATGTTTCTAGAGTGCTTTGCTGCTTCAGAAAACAGAATAAACAAAAATAACTAAAAGTGGTAAGCTTGGGACCAATAATTAAGTAGCACGTTGGGACCATTAAAAAGCATGATTGCATTACTAACTCATTATACATTTAAAAGCCGCACCCTAATACTGAGCCAGTTTGGCAGGGAGAGCAGATGGAAAATTATTTGTTTATCTAACAATATAAATGTATGTAAAAACCTAGAGCAGATAGATCCTTTAACAAGAACTGAACAATACAAGTGAAATGTATGTGTTTATTGGAGTGTACACGACATCAAATACATGTATGCAATAAGAAGTTTGTGGAGGAAAAAAAGAGTAAATAACGAGGAACCAGATAAGCCATCATCTAGATCTCTCTATTTCTACTAATATGAATGAAAAAACACCAAATACCATTAATTTGCAGTGAATTTTGTGCTTTAAAATAAGAGAAAACAGATCAAAATCATTATTTTAGAAGCCTAGTCTACATCAAAATCCCCCTACATTAGTGCTGTGATCAATGTTGAGGATTTAATTAATTCATTGAAATTTCAGCCTAAACTTATCAACAATGCTAAACAGAATAAAAACAGATTCAAAACAGAAAATACATATATGAAAAAGGACAAAACAACTGTTAAAGCATTAAAAGCAAAACGTCTCTGTGACATCACAGCAGTGGCTCAGATCCAATATCTATTCTCCGATACATGGGCTTAGTGAGGACTTTTTCACTGGGGGATCTCATTCAAAACAATCAAAGGACAGCATAGCTACTCATAGTTTGTCATTATGGTCAAAATGTTCCCAGAGGGTCTCCTTCCTCTCCAAAACAAACTGACCCAGAGAGTAAAGCTGGTTCAGCACTGAATAAAACAGTTTACTTTTAAAGTTAGTGTGTCCTTGATGGATACAAGCCAGAGAGGCTACAAGCTAATGCAAAGTGACCTTAGCTTCTCTGCAAACAGTTCTGGAGGTTTAACGTTTCTAGTTGATCTGTACGTCCTCTTACATCGCCAAACATTGGTACAAACCAAGGTGTTAACCTCTGATTGTCGTCCTAGAATCGGACATAAATCTGCCTAGAAGTCCTGTTGCCTGAGCTAGGGTAAAAGCCCTGTTCGTTAAAAAAGACCAAGATTTAAAGTGTTTAGTAAAGTGTGTTGAAAACTGGATTAAAAAGTACATATTTATGAAAGCTTCTGGCAGACAACTAAATGCTGATGCGCACAAAGCAGGGGGTAGGGTGGATGTGGGGGTCACTATTGACATGGAGATATTACTTTATGGGCTGTAAAACCTAAGCTTTTCATCAAACTGCTTTTTAATAGGATTTTAAAATGACATGAATTAGGGCAGCCACATTATGCTAACACTAGAAAACACTCAAAGTCAACAGAGATAAGAACTTTAAAAAAATGATTGTGACTCAATCCAGAGGCCTCATGTCTTTTATCCTCGGTATGCTAACAGGCGTCTGCTGTTACTCTCCACGGATCAACCCTGAAACGTCCACCAGAGAGACAAAGAGCGATGTTGTGAAATTGAATATTAATAACACACACTTGTTAACATCTTATTAACAGTTTGGATCATCGGGTTTACTAACACCTACCTTTGCACATCATGGACGCAGTGCACGCTGCTTGACCGGGTGAATCACCTACTGTAATAAAAACACTGTTAGTATTTTCAGAAAAACAAGTCATATCCAGACAATATGTATGTTTTATATATTATGTTTAAATGGAGTTTTACCAAAGAATTGCATCATCATCTGGGCTTCCGGTCAGTTCATTGTAGTATTTCTTACCAACTCAGCTCCACACTTACATCTAAAAAAAAGAAAAATTGATTCATTTAATACACTGATTGAAATGTATTGACTTCTTAATTACAATCAAATGTACAGTATTTTTATGTGATTTTGTTTCCTTTACCTGGGATGGAGACACCATCCTGTTTTGAGTGACAGCTCGATTGATTCCTGCATCATGTTACACTGTTTCTCCAGGATCTCCAACTAAATCAGCATTGAAATATTTATTAATTATTAAAAAGAAAGTTAACATTTTGGACATGGATGTTTGTGTTGCAGTGTTCCTAGTTGAATTTCCCTTGAATTAAGAAATGTCCTTTTGTAAATGATGACCAAAAATCATTGATAAACATTGATATGTGCAGCCCAACATGTTTCAGTGAAGAAATTATTTCTGTATGACGAAATATAAAATGTGACAAACAATCAAGTCTCTCAGCTGTTTCATCATGGCGTCTTTAGCCTGAGCAAACATGATGTTCTTTTGAACCATCAACGTTGCATTTCAATAGTTTCCCTCATGTTTTTCAGCGTGCCTTCTCCTCTGATTTCTTTTTGCTCCTACATAAAACAGAAAATGTTGACATAAACATTTTGCACATAAAATGTGTAGAAGTGTATTTCTATGTCTGTAATGATCTTCTGACTTACTGTCATAGCATTCTTTCATGGTCTCCTCGATTGTTGTTGTCAGGCTGCTGTAGATCGTTTCTTACGCTCACGGATGAGTTTGTTGAGATTTGTTTTCATTTTTTCCTCCTTAGAGAGAGAATGTGAAGGCAGATATCAACATATTTTTTAAAATGAACAAGTTACAAACAAGGCCAATCTTTCCCTTTATTATTTTTTCCAGATTTTACCTGGAGCACCTCTTTTTTTGCCCAATATCAGAATATTCTTTTGTAATCTTGAGGTGTGTCTTCATGACTTGGGGAAGGGTCAGATTTACAGCTGCAGTTAATTTTTCAAAGCCATCTCCAGTTCATGAGTTATTCCAGTACAATGTATATGAATATGTTGACTGATCAAAATGTATTATATTTAATAATATGCTCACCCTTCCACTACAGGTCTTCTATGGCTTTACAAACATATCTGATAATGGACTAATGAATAGGATCTTTTACCTCTGTCTTGAGAAATATCAGCTGCAGTTTGACATTTTCGCACATCCTTTTTCATCAGCTTCTCTGTGCCAAGTGAAAACGTATTGATGACCCCGTTGAATGGGTCCACGTGTTCCTTCATTTCTAAAACATATTAACAAGAAGAAATGCTTAAATTCATAAGGCCTTAACAAGTTTGTATTTCAATAATGTATTTTAATGTATTGTAAACACAATTTATTCAACATAGGGGTTTTATGGTCTTCTATTAAGTCATTTCTTACGGGGAAGGTCTTCTTAAATTCCTCGTCAATGCTGTCGGTCCAAACATGAGTTAACTTCATATTGATGTTTATTGATTTCCCTTTTTTGTTTTGTGGATGCCACCATTCTGAACAAGACACTTCAATATCATGTGAAATGCACCACCTTTCTTTGTCTGAAAACCAAAACACATTTTGTAAGAGACATATTCATATTAAGCAAACATTTGTTTTGATTTAATTATAACTTAAATACTTACAGGATAAAGGACCGACTTTAAGACTTTTTCACATGAACTTTTAAGATTTTCAACCCCCCCACTGAGGCATTTTTTAAAAAGCCATAACGGTCTGCTTTCATGGGTTCCCTGACTTTATCAAGTTCAAGACTCAGGTTTTCTTCTAAGTTCTATGAACACAGCCGTCTTCATGTCAGCCTGAAACCATACACAACACATTCATATTTAAAGCAATACAACCCATATTTAGTGGGAATGCTGACACAGCATTCCAAACTATCTGTTATGCTACGCACTAAATTCTTTATTATTCCGCCGGGTTATTTTGCGCTGCTTCTTCTCTTCTCCCACATTGACATCGCAGAAACTCCGTTCAAACATCAAACGTTCAGCTCAGTCGGGAATACAATGGCTATTACTTTTATTCATTCATAACTTTCATAATTCCAGAGATACATCCCCATAATACATCCCATTTTAACATGGAAGTCAATGGAGAACTCTTCAGACTTCAACAAGTCTTCATGCAACTTCAACTGCTAACTGCTCCTCCCTTCTTCAACTGCTAACTGCTCCTTCATAATGAATGTTACACATCTTTCTGACATTATTCGTGTAACACAACTTTTAAAATCTGATTCTTACTTTTACAGATAATAACATTGTTCAGACCTTGGTAAAGAGGCCTTCTTCAGATTTTAGAGTGCGTGATGTCACAGCTAGAGTGGAGGACAGATTTAATTTTGCCTTCATATTTTCTTTTAAAACCTGCCATAATTCCCAAAGCCCTACATTCCTGAGACATAATTTGTCATGACAAACGTAGGAAAACATATCAAAGCTTGAAAGATAAAAAAATATTAAGCAAAATAATTAAAAAAAAAAGGCCTCTTGAGGGCATGAAGTGACAAAAACTTTCAACATGTCTCCATTAAACTCCATTGTAAATTCAGCCTCACCTTTCCCCACCACAAGCAGCCGCACACCTTTAGTTAATCTGCCAAAAGGCCACATTATTAACCAGAAAGTACACAAAAAGTACACTTCAGATGCTCAAGTTCCCTTGACATGCTTCACGCTTTGAAATTACACCGATATCTGTTACGGTTCTACAAAACGTTCACATGTAACAGGTTTATCTCTTATTCAGAACAATGAAAATGCTTTCCTCTCACTATCACCATGGAAACCTTTGATCTCTGGACACGTCGTTAGCTCAAATATAAACAACCTGTGTCATGGAACACGATGTCATAACTCCAATGACATAATTAGAGCAGCAGACTAATGACGTGGTCACTGGAGTTTAACAGACTGTCTCAGCCTATTCTTTTCCGTCTGATGGAGACTTCATACTGACTTCAACATGTTCCACATATTTTAGACGTTATTGGTGACGTATGCTTTTAGTTCTAAAGTTTTCAGTTCAAATATTCTGCTGCTTTTTCATGCATTTAGACTTTCATTTTCTTGTTCTTATTTCACATTCAAGTCCCCTCTATTCATGAACCCTTTAAAGTACTCAGCCACACCACTTATATACCACGTTGCTGTTGCTATGTCAGTTAATCTTTCAAATACAAGGTTGCTTGTTTGATTCAAGCTCTTGTAGTCAATATGTCAAGGTATTTATCCCTAACATTTTATCAGCTAACTAATGACACACACTCAGAGGATCTTTATAAACGTTTTAAGTATTGCACATCTTTAAACATGACTCTTATAAATCACTTTTAAAACCAGCGATGTACTACAGTGTCAGCTTTTCTAAAATAGAAACTTCAATGTTCACATCTTTCTAAATTATTCTACTTTTCAATGACCTACAAATAATCCTAATAATAATCCCATTTTCAGTCTTCCAACTGTTCATATTTTTTGGTCAATTAACAAACCTGTTACAAATGTGTTGTTCACGCAATTTGAGCCTTTGCCCCATTTATTTGATCACCATGGAAACCTTTGATCTCTGGACACGTCGTTAGCTCAAATATAAACACCTGTGTCATGGAACACGATGATGTCATAACTCCAACTGACATGCTCAGAGCAGCAGACTTCAGATAATGGTTAATGGTCCTGCCCTCAACAGCTCTACGTCAATTATGGGGTGTCATCATATGCCGTTTCCATGGAAACGCATCCCTCGCCATAAAACACGATGTCGCTGTAACTCCAATGGACACGGTCCGATCGTCCCCCAAACTTTGCTTGTATATCACCGGTCCATGCCTCAACAGCTTTACGCCAAATCTGAGATCTCACCATAGGCTGTTGCCATGGAAACGCATCCCTCGCCATAAAACACGATGTTGTTGTAACGCCTATGAAAAGGGTCAAAACAGCACCACACTTCAGATAATGGTTAACGGTTTAGCCTTCAACAGCTCTACGTCAATTATGGGGTTTCATCATATGCCGTTTCCATGGAAACGCATCCCTCGCCATAAAAGACGATGTCGCTATAACTCCTATGAAAATTTTCAAAAAGTGCTCAAACTTCACATGTGTGCTAACAGTCCAGCCGGGAAGACATATACGGGACAGTTTTGAGATTTCTTCAAATGCCGTTGCCATGACAACACAATGCTCGCCATGAAACACGGTTTTCTCATAACTTCAGTGAAAATGCTCCAAATGGCCCAAAACTTCATAGGTTTAGTAACGATGCAGCCATCAATGCATCTAAGCGTATTATGGGATGTCATCAAATACCGTTGGCATGGCGACAGATCATTCACCATCAAGTTAGTTCAAAAGTTTGCAGTCCAAATATTTTGCTGCTTTTCCAAGCCTTTTTACTTTCTTTTCTTCTCTCATCACACATTCAAGCCCCCAGTGTTCATGTATCATTTCAATCTAAATTCTTCACTTTCTTCTTATACATTACATTTCAGCATAGCAGTTTAGCGTCAGCTTTTCAGCATAAAGCATTCCCACTAGCAATTTCTTCAGGAATTGCATTCTCTAGTTCAATATGGGATTGCATCCTCTCTGAAGCAACACAAACTCAGCTAATCCAATACCTTTTACAATCTTTACAATTTTTACACAACATTTTAGTGTATGCAGCTTAATATTTTCTATGAATGTTATTTTCTTTCAATATTAAAGACAATGAAAGATGTTGTTACTTGATCTTACCGCTCCCCTACTGCTGGCTCCCTGAATCAGAGAGAGAATCCCGCGAGCTCCAGACACATAGTTTAATGTCTCAGAGTGACTGTTATTGAGATCTTGCAGGAATTCCTGCAGTCTGGGAATTTCTGTAAAAAATGTAACATACTTACATTACATTCTTAAATGTACATGTTACACTCATTAGTATCTCTACATATTTATTGGAGGAGATAAAACAATGTTGTCATCCGGGCTCACTTATGGAGAATTGAATCACCTGTGTCATCTGATCCCAGACGTTTCTTTCTCATGAACTCTTGGAGCTCACTGTGAAACCTTGAAACATTTCTCACTGAATTGTTTCTAAAAAAACAAACAAGTTTTAATATAAAAGCAGATTTTCCATTTTGCACAATATTTGTGTTTGATTTGAAGTCAATTATACTCACCTTAACGTCTTTTAGTTTGCTGAATTCTGCCCTCACTTTCTCCTTGGCTTGCCTCGTTTTTGTTTTAGTATTTGAGCACGAACACCAGCTGCTGACCTATATGAAAAGATTTGTATTTGAAGAATTACATAAACTGCATATACATCCCATCTCATATAACTTTGCATCTTGCTCTTGACATCACATGCCTCACGCTCGAAAATGACATGCCCAGAATGAATGAGTAATTTAGTACAACTAAAAGGGGTATATGAATAATGTTTTTTATCAAAGCAATGATACACCTGTGAGTTGGCTGTAGAAGTGTCAGAATCAATATAGATGTTGCTGTGTCAGAGTAAATTCAGATTGAACATTGAACATTTCAATTCTAGACTCCGCCTAAAAAAACCACATTATCTATTGTGAAAACCACCCTTGAATGATGGAATAGTAGCCCAGAACCTTTAGGGATCCAAACTTCACTACAACATAAGTACCCTGTGTCAGGATAGATCATAATTAAGTGAAACTTGACATTTTTTAGAGAGGTTTAGCACAGGTAGGTCCAGGCGGACTCACCTTTGGGTACATTTGGGTACATGTGGTTACCATCAGTGCCATTTGACCTTTCTCAGGTACCACACTGTAAACGCTTTCATTGAAATATCCCTATATAGGTATTCATTCCATCCAAATACAACTGTTTTTGATCTTTTTGGAAAATTCACCCAGACCTCTATACCTTTTTTCGCCACAAAGCGTAATGGGGCGCGAGCTGCCAGTCAGACCTATGCATTACGCGAGGCCGTATCTCTGGAACCCATTGGTCAAATTGGGTGATTGACACCTCTTTGCAACCGTTAGAGCCAATAGAATCGAGGGGCAGTTCATACATCCATATAAACATTACCATTGGTCAGTTAGAATGACGCACACACAGCATGCCCTAAAGCAGATGCCCCGGCCGGCTAAACATTATACCCCGTTTAGTACAAATAAATGTAATGATGGATTATCAGCAATCATTTCAAATTGACACAGAGACATTGGATTAACCTTCA